TTTGGCGACAAAGATTTATCACTAGTTTCGCTGGTACCGGAGCTTCCCGAGTGCGATGATGGAGTGTGTATTGTTTCGTTTTAATTGAAATTTCTTTGTGGACAAATGACGAGCGCGGGCACCGTTGCCAGATTGGTATAGATGTGTGTATATAGCCGTATAATACCAGTAGTAGTAGTAGTAGCCTACGAAATGTTCTGAAACATGTTGCGCTTGCCTTTGCCTTTGCATTTGCTTGTAGCTTTTATTATTAGCGGTTTGTTGTTGTTGTTTCACTGTATATAGCCAGCCACAAAACTGAATGCTGCTGCTGCTGCTGCTTTTGTTTTTGTTAATGTTACTGTCATTGTTGTTGCTGTGACTGTTGTTGTGTTGTTGTTGTTATCGTTTGCTGATGATATTATTATTATTGTTGTTGTATTGTTTTTATTGCTCTTGTTATTATGTGTTTTGTTGTATTGTAGGAACATTGCTCTTGCTGCTGTTGTTGTTGTTGTCGTTTTTATTGTTTCTGTACAGGTTTCAGTTTCTGTTTTTCTTTTTGTATTTTGTATGGCAGTACCACAGGCGGGCACAACAATTTGTGGCGAAACGCAAATAAATTTTCCATATTGCGGTTCTTTCTTTTAATAAATGAAATTGTTGTCAATTTTTTTTTTTTTTTATTTTATTATGTTTGTTTCGTCCATCCTCTGTGTTTTTTTGCATTTTATTTTAGTCAGTCTTTTATATTTTGTTACCGTAGCCAAGAGTATTTTTGTTGTTGTCGGTCTTTTATTATAACCGAAAATTGACACATCCACCAAAAATAAAAAGCAACAACAACAAACAAGGATTGTCGAGTCAAACACCGGTGCAACCACAATGAAAATGTGCGTAATTTTTACTTGATGAAGATTTACGATAGACAAAAGCCATTAACTAGCCTCCGCCCACATCGAGGTTTTTATGAAATTCATAGACCTCCTATGTGACTCGACTCTTGGATGAATAAAAAATAAAACACACTGTAAAAAAACTCTTGAACTGAAATAAAATGCCAAAAATTATTGTCGATCGCATTAATAATGTCGCAAAAACAATACAGGCTGGCCAATGAATATATTATTTAATGTTTTCACTTTTCCATTAATAGGAACAATTAATAAAAGTACCTCACGGGCATAGGAACCTCAACATTTTGGTATTATTGTAAAGGAAATATTAAAAATATGCAATAATTGTCAAAAGTCTTTCATAAAATTGCTATGAAATATTAACAGTAACCAGAACGGAACTAGTCCAACCCAAACAGAAATATTCTCTTCAACTAATTTACTATTTATAGTTCAAATATTACTTTAAATTTTAAGTAAAAACTGGCAACGTTGCTTACAACACTAGAGTAATGTTTCCTATTCATTACTAATTAAGCTCTAATCATGCCCAATGTTTGCAAAAATTTAATCAAGTTTGGAGAAAATACTCGAATAATCGTAATTGACTGAAGTAAGCACTTTCACATATTTGTATAAATATCTAAGCTATAAACCAAATATCGCTAAATTTCCGACGGTTACATGGATTATCATGGCAGGAGGTGTGGATATTATGCACCTACATAATCGCACCCCTGTAATGTGAAAATCACATGCTCAGAGTTTAGAGTACTTAGATTTTAAATCGTTCAGTAATTGGAAACGGAGTTTATGATGCATTCAATGCTCTAAAATAAGAACTTAAAGACGGAAGGTGCAAAAATTCTGGACTATTAAATGGATTATGGAAGATGAGGGAGAAATGCTAAATATTCGAAACACTTTTTTGCAGAAATCACATGCAATGGACGTTCTGAGATTAGAAATTTTAGATCTACAATTAGAACTTAAAGGTCTAATTTCAGAAGGCTTAATTTTTTTTTTTTGTTCAACTTTCTTACACGTTCGATAGTGACCAATGAAAATTATTGCTCCATAGTTTATTACAACTGTCGTAAGACATTAACTCCACGGGAAAGGTGTTTGAATATTTCGGAGATAATGCGTGCGTGCATATCGTAGATACACAACAATTGCCATTAAAGACTCTCATCTGCTTTCGCTATAGCTATATTAAATCTATTGAATATTTGTTATCTGTATATATTATAGTAAATTATAAAAAACTAGAGATTCTTTTTTACCCAAGTGTTAACAGAAATGGCTTTATAGTTATGATTTGGTAGTTATTATTTAGTCCATGCTACTGCAGGGATCAACACAAATGTTAGTAAAATTGTAATTCTCACGTTATCCAACTGCTGTAAAAAACCAAGAGACATGAGATAGTTTTAGAGTAACCAATTCAAAGTATCAAATATTTAGATTAAAATTTTGAATGTACTAGTTTGATCACATTAAACGGTGCTCCATAGTCACATACATAGTCATTTTCTAAAAGTAGTAGATCATAAATTGTATACCACAATTGGTTCTAAAAAATTCAAATGATATGGCTAAGCTACAAACTTTCGAGAACAAAAATCATATTGGCTTAAGACAAGATTAATCTGCAAATCTCGTGACGATACTAATAGGGCTTTCTCCAGTGCATCCATGCCGAAAAAAGGCATTTCCGTTTAGTCAAATAGAAAATGTGCAAGGTGGAAGTAAGAACAGGAAAACTAAATAGCTGAACACTTCCTTCGAAAATAAATGCTGAAGCCTAGCAAGAGTGATGCATTTCATAAGAGAAGCCTACGTACTAATAAATCTATCAATCACTACAAACAAAAATTTTCCAAAAATAATAATCTTTATATTTAATGCAGATATTGGTTTTAAAATTTAGTATTTCATGACCAAATATGTGGTATCAAGTATGATGCCATACTTGATAAATAATCTACTTTATCAACAGTTCGGATTGACCTTAAGGCCTAGAGTTTCATGCGATAACAAAACTTGCCTGTGGATGTGAGAGCATTCCAAACAAAAATCTTTCAAACATATTCTCTTTCATTTACAGAACAGTTTGGTTTCCAAACTTTGAATTTCTTGACCGAGTATATGGTACTAAAATATGTATATGGATTGCGAACATCCTAAACAAAGATATTTTAAAATTAATTTTCTAAATCAAATACTTAAATTAGTTCAAATTTTTAAAACTTCATAACCAAATATGTAGCACCAAAATGTGGATCTGGATGCGCGACCATCACAAACACGAAGCTTCCAAAATTAATATTAAATTAGTAAAACAAATTAATTTTTGATTCTAAATTGGTTTTAAAACCTAAAATTCCATGACCAAGTATGTGGTACCATAAATTGTATGTGGATTTGCGATCATCGCATACACGGATCTTCTAAAAATAATATTCTTTATCTAAGACACACAGATTGGGTCTAAAACTTAAAATTCTATGAAGTATAAAGTATATGGTACAAAACCTTGCTTGTGGAAGTGCGCGCATTCCAAACAAAGAACTTCCAAAAATCATCCTCTTCATTAATTGTTTAGTTTGGTTTTTAAACTTAGAATTTCATGACCAGAAACACAGTACCAAAACTTGCATATGAAACGTCGGAAAATGATTTTCGAAACGTGGCCATTTCAGTCCAAATCTCTCTGCCTTGCTTTACGATAACTTCATATGTTTTTTTTATTTCACAAACCAACAAGGTTTTATGCTCGACGTTCCTTTTCAACGTACTGTGCAAATATTGAATAAATAATATTCCAACCTCACTTCCTTTCTGAACTCTTAAATTCGAGAAGAATAAAAGTTAAAAGTTTGCTATTTGTTCTTGGATGAAAGATTACTTATTCGTGCAAATAACTTTAAAATTTTAAAGTCTCTTAAAAATTTAAAGTTACATATGTACTTTTAGAGATTCGCATATTATCAAAACTTTAAACTTTAACATTCTTAAATAAATACAAACAATACATAGGAAGGCAGTGAATAGTCGTAAAATTATTTTATTTCATTAAGAATTTGATACAATTTAAATTTTCTTGAAAGCCTTCGAATGCGCTATGAATTGCAGTATCTGCAAACGGAAAAGGATTTTATGAATGAACTTCAAGTTGTAAATCCTATGAAGTGGAACGCAAATATTAAAGGATGGATGTACTTTATCTAGAAAAGCAGGAAAAAATTAAGAGCCTGAAGCACTAGTTTTTATGCCAAAGCAAAAAGGTTGCCTTCCAAAAAAGGAAAATCTTATCCTGTGTTCGTGAGTGGATGCGTGTGTACTCGTAAAGCAGGGTTTGTTTGTACCTCCATGTGTTGCTTGTGTATAATTCTATAAACGAGCAAAAGTACCTGGTAATATGCAGCAAAGTATTTTATGCTTCCTAAAGTGTTTCTCAAATTAATCCTTTAGCCACCCTATAAATTATTCACGTTGTGTGAAGGATGGCAACATAACACACGCCCACCACTTACTTACCAAATGAAGCCAACGGCTGAAATGAATGGATAGAATGCATGGATGGTGTGTTGCTTCTGCCATTGCTGTTGACGTTGCCTTTGGTGGAGGGCAACAGTCTAACAGTCCAACAGTGCAACAACAATTAACCTTTGCTTAGCATTGTTCTCCATTGAGTGCTGCCCTTCGTTATATTTGTGCAAGTTTAAATAGTTTTTCCAGTAATAACGTCCTCTCAACTGGATTATATGAGCATTCCGACTCTCCATGTAATGCGAACGCATTCAATGTATGCATTTCATATGGCCAACAATTATTTTAGGAATGTTTTTGTGTGTTACCACTATGGATTTGTACATTCCGACTTGACCCTTACTTAATTTGCGTACTAAATTCGTTCTGTTTAATTTGAGTACATCATAAATAACTTGTTCACATCTCTGCTGCGCATTAGCAAATGCCCAAAATGCTTCATAAGCAACAACTTTCCATATATGCAAATGCACTGCAGTTCAGGAATTTGTGAATTCAATGTACTAACTTTTCCACTACTCCACTAGTCCATTTTAATCTTATCTAATTGAATTTTATTATCTATTTCAGGTGTACAGCATGTCCACACCGAAGAGCAGTCATGGCAATGCTAGCAGTTTTGGTGGCGCTAGCACTGGTGGGCGCAGTGCTGATCCGAAAGAGAAACTACGTCGTATACCGAGTGTACAGCCAGGTGCATTAATTTGTCAACATCTCATTAAGGAAGGCACATATGGCAGAATCTACGCTGGCAAATTGGGTGACTCTTGTGATGTGTTGATTAAAACTGTTGTTGATGGGGCTTCACTAACCCAAGTAGCATGTTTACTACAGGATGCGTCAATGCTAATTGGAGTCGCTCATTTAAATGTGTTACCACCTTTGCTAGCTAATACTGATTTGCCAGGACCACCAGAAATTGCATATCCATATCCGTCCAAGGGAAATTTAAAAATGTAAGTTTTGTGGTTTTCCGTATAAAATGTTTATTTTTGTCCTTCTGTTCTTAATTAAATATTTTTCCTAATGAATTCTGTCTCTACAGATTCTTACAAAAATCACGTGAAATGAACTCCCCGTTAAGCACTCGTCAACTTGTGGAATTTGGCTTACACGTTTCCAAAGGACTGGCACATCTTCACTCATTGGGTATAATACACAAGGACATTGCAACTCGGAACTGCTAGTGAGTAGACTCATATATTTATTTAATTTAATTATTATATAAACTAAAAGATGTTTATAAAACTTAAATTAATAAATTAATTTTTTTAAAGAATTTCACATAACAAAGCACACCTTTATTCTACTTGTATTTGTTATTATTATAACAACTCTCTTAAACTACCCAAAAGGTTACATTAGGCTCCTTTTTAAGAGCCTAATAAAATAATGACACGATAATGCTAGATTTGTGGTCTAAAGGTATCTGTAGGATAGATTACGATAAATTAACCTGTTGGGCGATAAGACACCATAACACTATAATAAAAAAAATAAATTGAGATTCTTTATGACCATCTTCTTTTTATTCTTCTATTTTATCGCTTTCAAAGTACTCTTTCTTTGACACAGCATACCTACGACAACGGTTTGTCCAATTTGGAAGCTATTTGGATTGCTATAGTTGATTTTTAGAATGGCCTTTAAAGTACAAAGCGTTGTAACTTAGCTATAAGTCAGGAGATGAATTCGATGGTTAATGAAAAAAAAAAGTTCTTTTTCTGAATAATTTTAAAGAAACAATGCAGTATGAGATGGTGCATTATCTAATACAGCCTGTCTTTTTTGTGTAAAGCTTCACATAAATATTGCATACCGTGTACCCGGCGGAGGAAATTCATACTGCACCACACTATGATGATCAAAGAAAATTGCTTACATGACATTGATTTTTAAACGACATTTGCGCCGTCGTCTGGTTCAGAAAGCTTTGTTTAACAAAGTTTAACGCGGCGCTGCTTTTTGCAAAAAAATTGAGTGTTTTTGGCACCCAACGAGATATTACTTCTTTGAGCTACCAAACATATATCAATATTAGATGGGTTCGAATAGAAACTAAAAGCCAACAACAAAAATTTCAGTTAATTTATTGAAGTTTGGCTGACCATACAACGCTGTTTCGAGCATTGCCAAGTACTCATCATCAGTGGTCTTAGAAAATATTTGAAATTTGTGATTAGTTTATAGTCCGTATATAATATGTTTTGACTGAAAGTTTTAGACTTTCAACTATCTTTTAAAATAGTCTATATTGATCTATCGAAATGAAAATTTATCAGTATCGACGAGATCACTAATCATCATTCGACAGTTCTTGATTACCAAATTTATGATTTCATTGATATATTGTTTATCAGTTGATGATGGTCGTCAGGGTCATTTTTTATCTTCAATAGTTTCTCTGCCTATTCTGAACTGGTCTTATACTATATACAAACATTTTTTGTGATTAATCCTGATCACAGAAGGACTTCTGATATGTCACAAACAAATATGTACAAGTGATATAAACAATTCGATAAAGGTACACAAACCGTTCGTCATTGAAGATCTTCTGCGATATTTATTACAGAATAAAGAAATTTTATTACGCAAAAATAAGAGTTAAATGTCTAAAATGTTTATTTTGATATTTAAATATATAATTTGAAATCTATGTCTGTCACTAATGACTAAACCTTAAAAGTGCTGCCGGAGTCGTAGAACTTGCGTAGTTTAAATTAAGAACAACACTGTATTCACAGAAGTGTGTGCCCGAATCCTAAGTGGTAGAAATAATTGATTTGGTTGAAAAAGTTTTGGATGTGTTAAGAACTACTTATATATTCTTCAATTAAGTTAATCGTCCGCTAACAAATTTATTGTTTCTCCTTTACTTCACTATTGTGAGCAAACGATGTTCTCAAAAAATTTTCTGATAAGCGTCACATTAAAAAAAATATCACCGATATGAAGTGGACACCCTTTTAGAATAGCTTCAGGGTTTACTCACAGCAACCACGATAATGCTTTGTAAACTAACCCAGCGTCCTGACAATCGAAGTTTTAGGCACCTGGATTATGCGGTACCAGATTTCATCTTTGGTGAGGCGTCACAAATGAAAACATATTTACTATCAATTACACTCCAAAATTGCACAGGATGGATTTTATAGGATTTTAATCGCCTTTTTATGACAGCTTAAATTCTAAACACACTATTATATTGTCTTTTCTTAGCACATTCATAAAATATATAGATATATTTATTGAACTTTTAATATTCCTTTTCTATATTTAAGTGTACTTCATCAATCATTATCCATTTACATGTCATGTTAACAAAAGCCTTCTTCTTATACTCTCTTATAATTTTTCTTTGCAGTTTGGACATCGACGCTCATGTTAAAATTTGCGACAACGCTCTATCACGTGATCTCTTTCCCGATGACTATCACTGCGTAGGAGATAATGAAAATCGACCACTTAAATGGATGGCATTAGAGTCTCTGCAGAAGAAATACTTTTACACCACATACAGTGATATATGGAGTTTGGGTGTATTTTTCTGGGAATTAGCTACACTTGCAATGCCACCATTTGAGGAAGTAGATATTTTTGAATTGATGCCATATCTCGCAGACGGATTTCGTTTGGGTCAGCCTATTAATTGTCCAGATGAATTGTAAGTAACCGATAGTGACTCAAAATTAGGTATGTTTAATAACTGTAAATTTTGATTTATTTGCAGTTTCACTGTCATGTCCTGTTGTTGGCTTGTAGAACCAAAGCAACGACCATCATTTCCGCAGCTCGTAGCTTATTTACAAGACTTCCATGAAGACTTGGGCAAGTACATCTAAGCTATTCGCAATAGTGTATATGACACGACTGAAGCTGCATTTACATGCGATTGTTTCACAGGAGGAAGGCAATTGTCCTTAAGTAATTAAGTGGTATCAATTTTTTGCATTTTAGTAAATTAATATTACGTCTACATTAATTAAATATTTACATTTAAAATGTGTTTAATGTATGTATGTGAATTACCTGTTCGTAGAGCCATAAAAATTTAAGTTTTACTTTTTAGCTAAGCAGAAATACGTACATTTTTACGTGAATAAAAGTAACGTTCAACTGAAAAGTAACATTTAATGACGTACTGTAGTTAGATTATATATGTAATTAACAAGAAAAGTATAAGAGATTTTAAGATTTAATTAAGAGCAGATATTATATTAAATTTAGGCGACTTAAGACTTTATTTTTGTTCTGTTTTAATGTTGTCTTAAGTAAGTTGTTATCGTGTTTAACGATTAAGTAAAGAAGAAATTTTATGAAATAAGTATTTTTACACAACTTTTATTCCAGTTTTTCTTTCCTTATTTTCACAAAGTAACTATTATAGTCTAAATCCAAAGAATTATTTTTTTTTTAATTTGTTACTTTACTTAATATTCAATTTTCTTCCTTTGATTTAATGTGGCTTTGAGGTGAAAGTGCTGTTGATGTGGTTTTGTAGAAAGTTAACTTTGACAAACATTTAAAATTAAAATACTATTTCTCTAATAAGACGTTAGTATTTCTTAAGGAGAAATACAAAAAATTTCCAGAAAAAAATTTTTATTTTACAAGGCTTAACAAAGAACATCTAAGTGGGCTACCCTCTTTAAGTGCAGGGTTGCAGAGCAAATGTTCGGTATATCTGCGGATAAGAATTGAATTTAAAAAATGAAAGAATTCTTTTCTCGCTCGAATATTACATTACTTATCCGTTTATTGCACATTATGCATTATTGCAACCAAGCTAAGAAAATCTAAGTTAGGCACCCTGTTGAACTATACATATGTTAGAATTGCGTTAGAAGTATTCCACAGTCGTTCTAGAAAACTAAGTATTTTCTTTAATCTAAAATTTTTTTACTAATCCAAATATGCTTTAACCAGAACCATTATTAATTAATCAAAAAAACAAAATAATTTTATTAGCGACAAATACAAAATGTTATCTACAGATATATTCACATTGTAAATCACTAATACTTCATTTATTGACACTACAAATAAGTAAAAAGTACATTTTTTGTGTGATCTCTTAGTGCTTGTCGATGAGTATTGCTAATAGTATGTTGCTATGATAACATACAATATTATCAATGTGCATACAATATTGAAGATAATTTTTAAAATTTATTCTCCGATACTCGTATTAAGTGCAAAGTCCTATAACAAATAGAATTATAGAAACAATTATGGAAAAATTGTTAAGGATCGCATATCGCAATTCTCACATATTAATTTTTAAACAGATCGCATCGAATAAAAGGCTGACCCAAGCAAGCCATAGATTCACTGCTCATTACTCATTTTTGCTTCATTGTAAAATTCCCAGGAACTTATGACTGCAAATAAACGCAAATAGTTTTCATAGTTATTTTTTTGAAATCAATTTCCCAAGCAATGTATTAATGTAAAGATTCAATAATGTGACAATCTCATGGTTCAATTTACTAAGCAGTGAATGCATCGAAATTTGACAATTAAGGTCACTTGATTTGAGCTGGAACATCAAAAATGCGTGACATGTAGGATTCATGTGAGGTAATACGTTATTTTTCCTCTTAATCAGTTTCAACGAACATGAACATATTAAAACTTCCTAGACACGGTCTCTCAATTTCAGCTGGCTGGGATACCAAAAATGTGTGTCACCTAGCATTGCCGCTTTGAAATACAATATTTTTTCTTTCTAGCACTTTTGATCTATGTATATTACTTAAATTCTTGTTTCATCCGCTTGAATGGGACGTATTACATCTGCTTACATCCCAGTTTTGTTAACTGTTGTGTATAACTTCATCGGTCCTTGCAGCAAGAGGCCTTCCAAATCAAGGATCATTTTTCAAATTGAAGCTTTCAAAAATCTTCCAAACATTTTCAAACTGTTATAGTAAGAAATCTTTGCACATCCCTTAGTTAAACTCTTCCAATTTTCGTAGTAAACTCGTATAACGTACCATTACATTCTACAAATACAGTAAACAGTGTTGTATTTCCGTCATATTTGGGTTCATATCTAACAAATCAATAAATGTGGTGTCTAAAAAATAGTAATAAAACGTGATATATAACATATAACTGCCACAAATAAAGTTGTGTATTTGCTCTCAAGTTCCACCCATAAATTAAGTCTGTAAAACTAAGTTCGACTTTAGAACAAAACCTAATTAAATACAGCAATTTTTGAACTCAAAGCTTCTATAACTATACTAAAGTAACTTACTTTAAACTAAAATTTAAGATAAAGTAACATGAATTAAACTTTTTCTTAGTAAAAAAATCTATGTGTACTGAATTTCTACAACTATTAAATAATGAATCCATAAATCAAAAGTATATATAACTTATATGAAACTAATTGAAATTAATTTTAACTCTCGATGTTAAGTGTAAAAGTCTGTCTACTCACTTTGATGTTGACTGAATTAAAAGATAAAAAGAGTAATTAAAATTAAAAAAGTAATATAAAAGAGTTACCAAACTCAAATGTCAAAAAACGAAAAATTATTGTGATTGTATTTTAATTATTTGTTATTAAGAATTATAGATATATGTATTTAAATGTTTATTTTTACATATATATATTGTATGTATTCATATTAAAAAAATAATGATATACATTAATATTTCAAATTATGGTATATGTATTTAAATGAATCGTGTATTATCGATGTGCATTCGTGTGTATTCGTCTATGATCGTTAACATTCGTCTATACTCGAAATCTCTATGTGTAAATTGTTGTAATAAAAATTAAAAGAAAATGAGAATTATAAAGAAAAATCTAAGAAACTAAGAATACCAAAACTGATATTGACTATGTATGTGTAAACTATACTTAATATATTTGTAACTATTCGTACTAATACTAACTGTTTCAACTCGTGTTTACTGTTTAAGGAACTTTTCACATTTATCTCTATTTTAAACTCCTCTAACTGTCGTAGATCTGTAAAATCACTAAATAAAACAACACAGAATGAATTTCCGAAAACTACATAAAACTAAAAATAAATAATTAAATAAAATATAAAACGTAAAAGAAATATTGATGGAAGTTAAAAAACATGAAAAAACTGATATAAAAGTGAAATTAATATTTGGTATTGTTCAACAATCGAATTATATTAAATAAATAAACAAATAAAACGGTGTTCCTTTTCAATTAAAATTTCAATAATTTTTTTTTTTCATTTTATTGAATGGTCATGGAGCTTTTGCACGCTACAATGAGTATTAGGTATGTATAGTTCAAACATCAATAACATGCATTTTTATATCAAGGTAATAAATTAGTTTGAATCTTAAAGCTAATCAAAGCCTTATATGATAAACATATGTTTTCTAATATTTTAATTAACATGTTTTATTTAAATAATATTAAAATGGAATATATTATTTATAAGTATTAATATTGAAAAGGCTTATAAATAAGTCTTTTATAGAAATTTTAAACCCAGCAATATTTTAATTTGCTATTTATTAATCTAATTTATCAATCTTTGTTTTTTTTTTATCATGATATATATACATTTGAATTGTATTGAGAAGTACATGAGAACAAGGAGCAAAAATGCAAATGCAAAAACAATGAATAGAGATAAAGTAACAAATTTCCAAGAACGTCGATGTTGTCATTCAAATAAGTGAAAAAAGAGGGATAGTGCATTATAAATTATAGATTAATGGAATTGATATGTGCATTAATCTTCTTCTAGGTGCGTTTCAGTCGATCTACACTGGGATAATCTAGAATCCTACATCACTTTTATTCTAAAACCTTTTTTTTCAGATTTAACAGTATGAACATCAATAAAACTTCCATAAAGTTAACGATGGTGCCAATAGAGATATCTCTACGCGAGCGAATAAAGTAGGAAAACGTATCTTAAGAGTGAATAAAACTAATATTTTATTCACACTACTGTGAGTAAAGGGTACACTAAATTTATCGAGATTGTTGTGTTGGGATTATTCAGATGATATAAACCTTAAAAAAAATATTTTAAAAGATTTAAGATTTTACATTGACAAAATTTGTGTAAATAAATACAATAAAATAATATAATTTTGTTTCACTTAATGTATCAATTTATGTCCTAATAATAAAAAGTTAATTGGGGTGTATGACTATCATGGAAACCTCAAAGGAACTGTTTCTATGTTATGCTTAAAATTAACCAAAAAGCAAGCCAAGGATTTAGCACATTTCTGGAGAGCATGTTGGTCTCTAACCATTCACAGATGAAAAGTCGGTTTTTGAGTTTTCTCAAAAATCTCATCGTGTTTATTGGGTTTAATCAATTTGAAATTGGTTTCCTGCTTAGGCAAGTATGCTGTATTCGTATAACCAAACGGTATTAAATTCCATATTTACTCGGAGCAAGTCTCGAATAAATCGATGTTAACCCTACAAGTCTAAACCCTCCTGTTACAACCACAGTCATTTCAGACCATTTTAGTACGATATAATAAAAACTCGTTTAGCATAGCTTAACACTTAAATTATATTCCTTTTACAAAGTAGTAGGACTCGATGAAGCGCAGAGGCTGGTTTAACCAGATATTTCTACGAACATGCGCTTTCTGAATATTTTTTTTTGGAGCAATGCATTCAGATAATATGTTTCTAAATATCACAGACATAACTAGTGCGTAAGCTCATTTAAGCTTACAAGGCGAAAACTAATGAATCAGCTTCTATTTATAAAAAGGTTGCCCCTAGAAATATTGTTGCCAACAAATTATATTCTTTGTAAAAATAATGACGAACATTTTTAGTTATGTCATTCCAGCGGTCTGACTATCTACATTTCGTTATCTATTTGTCTGTCTTCATCTTGATTAATATATCTGTTTATATA